TTTTTAATTTCCTAAAATAAAATAATATAATCTAGGCCATTGATCAAGAAAATGGACGGATGAGATTGGTTTACACGGTTTACACAAATGGGTCAAGTTTTCATTTGAACGCTCCTATATATATATATATATATATATATATATACTAGTTGTGTACCCGCGCAATGCGTCGGGAGCCATGAATTTTAACGATTTTGAAGTTCCACTGGTTTTATAAGATAAGATTTAACGATGATATAGGTTACAATTGGTCTTTACATATTAATACAATTTGAATAAATAAGAGTTATGGTTTCAATTACAGAATATCGATGAAAAAAATTGTATGACAATTTAAAATCCAATATATTTAAAAATCCAACATATTTAAACGACTCCACAAATGTGTTCGATTTACACCAAGAGCAAAGAATCAAGAAACTTGAGTTTTAAGATAAACACTCAAAATCAATAAAGAAAAATACAAATTTGACAGATCATAGGTCATGAAAAGACAAAAAAAGATGAGTTTTAAAATGAAATTTCAACTGCTTACTCTATTTCTTGTCCAGAAACTCAGATTAAGTTTGAATTAATGCATGTATATATATTTCAAAAAACCCCAAGAACATATTAATTCAGAACATATTATACAATGCAATTTGGACAACCGAACTCTAAAATATATAGTATATATATAAATAAATAACTATAAAAGTATAAATCGTAAATATTAAAAATATTTTTGCACAGTATATATAATATATAATAATTTAATTAAGTCAAAAACTATTCAATACTGGACTCATTTCGAAGGTATTAACGAGACAATTATAATGGTGTAACTTGTTAAAATAAAAATGTATTTTTAAACATGTTTTAATTGATATACGATTATGTATGTTAATTTGATAAATGTTTAAAATGAAATATTTAAAAGTAAAGGACGTAAAAGTGAATGTGAGGAGAGGAGGGGGTGAAAAAGTGATAGGGTGAGTTAGGGGTGTGCAGAACCCAAATGATCCGAAATCCAAACCTGAACTCAAACTGAAAATAAAGTATTTGTGCAAAACCCAAAAATTCAAAACCCTACTTTTGGGGGGATATTTGGATTCGGGTTGGGTTGGGTTTGAATTTTAACCACCCGACCTGTCTGAAAACCCAAAATATTTATACATATATATCTCAAATCTTACATAAATATATTTATTTATCTAATTATTTTTTGAAATCTTAAATCGTAGTCAATCAATTGAATTCATCCTCAAAATAGACTGAATATATATTGCATTATGACTATACCTGAACCCGACCAACCCGAATCCGGAGCAACCCGAATCCGGGCTTGGTTTCCATATCCGAAATTCGATCGGATTTCTAGTTTGCCCACCCGAACCCGCCCGCCATTCCCGATGCACACCCCTAGGGTGAGTGTATGTGAGGAGAGGAGGAGGTAAAAAAGTGAAAAAGTGATATAAGGGTAGTATAAAGAGTATCTTGGTTATTTAGTTTTTAAAATTTTAAAACTTTTGCTAAATTTGCTTAATAAGATAGTATAGATATAT